AGTGATATACAACATTTAAAACAACTAGTGTCTGCCTTCTGTTGTAACATACCCTGCCTTAAAATATTTTAATACACATATTTGAAACATGGATATCATAAACATTTATTTCATGAAATATATCTATTAATAGGTAACATTTTAAGTAATGGAAATAAAAATATAATTTTCTCAATCATTTTTTTTCTCTTTGGTTGATTTTTTTTCTCCTGCATTTACCTCTTCAATGGTTTGAGCATTTTTTCATGAGTCTTTGTGTATTTGTATGTTAAAAACTGTGACATCATTCCAACTACTGGAATTTTCACACAATCACTAGGGGATTATTAACTCATCTGGAAATCAGCCTGAGGCTTTAGAAAATTACAGGACAAGGGATTCTTTCCCTTTTTTGTCAGATGCTTCACGATCAGGAGCTTTGCTGTTATGTGAACCTGCTTTGTCAGGTGAGGGAATCAGGGGTCCTGCTCATAGGGAGGGGGAAGAGGGTGGGGGTGCAGGAGTCAGCTAGACAAGCACCATGATGAGGTCAGCGGAATGGACCTTCTAGCATAAAGCAAAGAGAGACGAAAACCTTTGTAAGAATAACGGTATATTCTAGTTTGTGCTTAAAGCACTATGTTCTTGTTCATCTTTAGCACATCCCTGAGAGGGGAATGCACTGTTTCACTAAAATTTACAAATGAGGTTTAATGGCACATGACTAGTAAACTGCAAGGTTGAATGGAAAGCCAGGTACTTTCTACTGCTCGGTTACTTGTCAATCATCATATTCCTGAGAGCCAAATCAAGAGCTGCCAGGAGGACGGAGGGCATCATGAGCACCTCGAGTTTCAAGCCACACCACCCACATTGCTATCCACGTGGCTATTCTGTGCAAGGAATACAAGCACGTGGTCAGTGACTATGTCCGTAAATCTTTAATTCTGTGAATGTAAGTGATCTGAATTCATTCTTGTGGGGGGAGGGGGGAAGTGAAGTATCTTTACATAACGACGATTTCACTCGACACCTAAGTAGAAATCTCATTTCGGTTTGAATTAAGAGTTGATTAGAGAGTAAAATGTCAAACTGGGGAGAGACATTCCTTTTGAAATAGCACAAAAGGAAGCCCCCGAGGAAAGCATATTCGTCAAGAGCATGTGCGAGAAACACAGCAGCTCCTTTCAAGAGTGAATGCTAGAGAGACAAGCACAGAGATTTGTGAGAAATTGCCTGGTAATAGAGGGAAATGTAGGCAGGTGGCCTTGAATATATGGGAACAAAAGTATCTTTGTTCCTTGAAACTGAAGAGTGCTAGTAAAACCGAAATAATCTATAATTGCAGCTAATTCTCATCTCAGCATCTTTTATGAAAGTTTTCTCATCACTCTAACAACTGGAGGGTGTGTTTCTCAGGGGAGGGGGGCAGGGAGAAAGAGCCCCCACCTTGTAACTGGTAAGCCACATGACTGGTTTATGACCAGGTGCCTTTATGCAATAAGCACTCTCCCCTCACATTGATGTTTTGGGGGAAATGCATTCTCAGCCTTCCTTTTCTATTGGATACTTACCTCCAGATGGCCTTGAAGCCAACACAACCAAGGTCTTTTCTCATCGAGTCTGTTGCTCACACAGCTGATCAAGTACAAAGCAGAACTGCCCAAAGCAGGAGGATTTTTATGATAAACCAACTGGTTTATCATATAGACTGAAGAAAGGAACAGTGGTCATGTGTGTGACAGGGCAGCTGTGTGCCTGCCTGTCTGCCTGGGTGAAAGGTTCATTCTTGGCCATCATTCCCAGAGGAGGCAAGGGGCCAATAGAGCTTTGTGAATGCTGGCTCCTCTGTCATTTCCAGCTGTTCCCCCGCCCCTTCAATCCACCTGCAGACTTATAGCCGCAGGCCTGCCTGCACCTTCATTCACAGTGCACTAGCATCCCCCGCCTCAGCCAGGTGGGTCCGCATGCGCCTGACAGGAAAGGCCTTGGACTCCCTTCTCCCTGGGCACGGCGGTCCTGGGCACGGCAGGTGAGCAAATGAGAAGAGTGGGAGGTTCCAGAGGTTCAGCCAGAGGATGGATGGTGAAATGAGGTTGACAATGTCCCTAAAGGGCTAAAATTAAAAAAAAAAATCATTGGATCACTGCTGTCCAGTGATATTGCTGATGCTGTTACTGTGCTGGCTTCGAGCAGAGTGCGGGAGGAATCCGCCGTCAACCTCAAAGCTTACTAAACCGCTGTTATTTCCACGGCGCAGGAATGACTCTTTAGATTAAATTTGGCCCCGGCTGAACAGAGATGGAAGTGCGGGAAAGGAAATTCTTCTGTTTAATGATGATGGAAATGATTTTTCTGCCAATTTGGGAAGGGGCAGAGGTTGAGTGCAGGGAGGGGGGCGGTGGTAATGGGATAGGAAGGGCTGAAAGACACACAACTGTAACTGGTTACTGTGTTTAATGTCTTGGGTTCCCAGGAAGTGTGTCAGCAGGGGTGCACAGGTGCAGTGTGAGGGGTGAGTCGCCTGACAGAGAAGGGACAGAGATGAGGACAACCCAGCCTCCAGCTCCCTGAAACCATGTGGTAGGATGAGGACATGCATGTCTGTCGGGTGCCTCCCAGGCCGCTTGCCCCGCTTTTCTTGTCCAGCACCACCTGACTTTCAGATGTGCAGGAAGAGGAATCTTCCTGGAGAAGACTGGACATAAAGAGGAAGATGTGACTCTGAAATCAGGGCTGGCCTTAGACCACAGCAATGTGAACTGACCCTGGTGTACCTGTTGTCACTGGAAGCTGTCACAGATGACACCCGGGAAGGATGGTCACACTAAGGTCAGCAGGTGCTATTACTCTACTCCTGACTTACACTGGATCTACAGGGAAGGTGAACAGGCTAAAAAGTAAACTGGAAAAAAAAAAAGTTGACTATCTAGACTATTTAAGCAGAGAAATATATTGGCCTTAATTATGTAGATATTACTTTAGCTATAGTTTAACATTAAGAATAACCATCTAGCCCAGTCGGTGTGGCTCAGTGGTTGAGCATCGATCCATGCACCATGAAGTTGCCAGTTCTATTCCCAGACAGGGTACATGCCCAGGTTGTGGGTCTCATCCCCAGCGAGGGGCATGCAGGAGGTGGCCAATCGATGTTCTCTCATCAATGTTTCTATCTCTCTCTCTTTCTCTTCTCCATTTCTTTCTAAAATCAATAAAGAAAAAAAATCTAAAAATTATCTTTAAAAAACAAATTATTTTCATTCCCTTCTGCCTCATTGAGATGGCAGTAATTTAGGCAATAAACAGAAACTTCCGCAATACAGTACTTAGAGTGCATTAAATAAATATAAATTTTATTAAAAACACTCACATAGCGTTATCAGGAATGATATAATAATAAACGCTTTCAAATAACTTGCATTCATAACATTACAATACTTACAGTATTTATAACCATCCTCAGATTTTATAGACAAACCAAATATCTCATGAAAATGAATTGAAACTAAGTTTTTAAAAAAGCATAGAAAAATGCACACAGAGTTCATTATCTTAGTGTCAAACTGCAAAAGTTTCCTACACAAGTTGACCACTAGCTTTAGAAAGTGAACTGTATACCACTGTGCGTCAATCAAGATGAAAAATTCATTCAAGTAAAGTTGACACCACTCAGAAGCATTTTCAAGTATGGCTATATAGTCAACCTGATATTCCTATATAAACAAATGGGAGATCTGCTTTTCATTCATTCTGAGGCAGGTTTTCTATTTACAAGTATAGATCTGATATTTACAATATGCCACTCAATTTTCTCTTCTTTTCCCTACCTAACCTCTCCCAGACTTCTCAAACTATACTTCCTGCTCCTGTTGGCCAGCAGTTTGACAAGTGACAGTGGATGATACAGAAACCACATATTCATATAGGGCTGGCTGTCTCAAAACCAACAAATGCACATGTCGTAACCAGATATTGGGGGTTAGATGCATACTACAGGCAAAATACTAGTCATGTGGTTTGATAGATGCAAAGCAAATGTTTATGAAATGTTTGTAAATTGGTCACAGCAAAAAACAAACATTTTTTTTTTTAAAAGACAAAGGCCATGTTATAAAGATTTGACCAATAAACCTCAAAGGCTACTTGGATTAAGAATGTATTTGAAATGTTAGCATAAACGTACTTAGACCAAAATGTAATTGTACAGTTGATTGCACACAATACCCCTAAGTGTTTTGCCTGTTTAGAGAAGTCCCTATGGATCTGTACCTATACTGGTTACAGGATCATAACATCTTTATTTAGAGAGTTGAAAGACTCTAGCCAGCAGCCACTTGCCAAACTCCTGCCTTACAATTTTCCCTTTATCAACTCAGTGCATTCTATTTTCATGTAATTTTGTTTCTCCTGCTTGAAACAGTCAAAATATTTCCCAAACTTTTAAAATGCTTTTCTTTACAATAAAAAGAGTCAACAGATTTACAAAATTAGTTTTAGTTACATCAGGACATATACAAAGCAAAATAGAAGGGATTCAAAATAAAAGGGTTAAATCCCTGAAAAAGGATATATTTATGAACCTACAATTTTACATAAACACAGGCGACGTGTTGGCATAAGGAGAACATGAGCTGAAATATCCCTGATTTTTAGAACAAAAAGGTTGACGTTCAAGTTATACTTGCTAAGAAATCAAGTATTGGAGAAAAAGTATGCTGCTTAATTATAAAAAAGAAAGACTTGGGGAAAAAAATGATGGTACATGATGCTATAAGCTTTCACTCTCAGTTCAATATCCTATTGCCAAACTAGTGTTGAGGTATATGACAAGTAGGAACATCACTCAAACCTTTAATGAATTCTTAGCTCACATTATGTCATATTTGTAGCAGGTTGAGTAGCACCATCATGATGTGAATTCTGCTTCAAATCCATATATATATATATATATATATATATACACACATATATATATGTATATATTTAATTTTTTTACAGTACTAAAATACTAAAGCATTGCATTAAAAAACTTTTGTTTACAATTAATTTACTTACTATACATCTCTTTTACTTCTTCTTTATACAAATTAATGATTTAAAACCACCACAGCAAACCAGCTGCCTGTTTTCTTTTTTCCTTTTAATTAACAGATTCACATGGAACTAACCCTGTTTATTCATCTTATGCAAGCATCAGTTTGCTGGGTCTTCCTGGGAACGAGGACACTTAAGCTAAGAAATGACAACATCGCCATGTACAACGATCAACACAAAGGCAGATGGACATTCAGTTCGCCGAAGAGCACACAGATCCGTAAAATTGCTTTGCGGACATGAACAGCTTGGTTGAGTCTGTGGCACACAGTTAATCATTACTGCAGTCGATAGAAAATTCTTAAAACTACGTATTGAGCCACGAACTTGCCATATGATTTTGTATAAAACTTTTACAGTGTAGCATGTGAGATGAGCAACAGAAAACATGTTTTATGAATTAACGCATTCCCTTGAATCCAGTAAGCCCCCTTTTGGATTTAACTGGCTGTATCAAAAATGGACACATTGCTCATCAGCAGATGCATGGCTAAAAACAAAAATATTTTAAAAGTTTTCCTTTCCTTAAAAAAAAAAAAAAAAATCAACTTTTCATTATAAAATGAAAGTAAACTTTTTTTTCTTTTTTAAACGTCTCAGTACCTTAGCATTGTTCAAGTTATCAAAGCTTAGGTAGGCAAAGTGCTTCTAAGACACCATTTAAAATATTTATACATATACATGTATGTGCACATATACATATGTGTGTGTATATATATATGTACATATATAAGTTTATTGTCCTACAAGGACTTCACTGGATGAGCAAAATCCAGAACCTTTAAAATGTCCACATTTTAAAAACAGCATGTGTAAGAATAGCTAATTATAATAAAAACTTGAATGAAAAGGTACCCCTGTTATTCAAGGGCACTGGAGTTCACTGATAGCAACTGGATGATATAAAGGCATTACATTTTCAACTTTAAAAGACACCATTTTTTTTTTTAGCACCATTTCTTAGAACATCCAAACAAATTCAGTGTTTTGCTGTCTATTCATTTATCTTTCCTGTAGCTATTTTGATAAATAAAAGGTAAGATTACAGTAAAAACTGCATGTTAAAAAGCCATAATTTCAGTTATTCAGTACATCATGTTCAGCACCAGATGGTATTTAAGAATCCTGCCACTGTAATACTACAGTACTTGTTTGATTTGTGTCCATGACTATGCAAACTTTGTATTACTAGAAGTGGTCACAGATGCGTAGAGTTGTAAGGGGGGGGAAAAGTCCCATTTACATATCACATCGTCCAATAAGAGAACCAGTGTTTAAAAATGTAAATTGTGGAACACTCTCTTCCCCACCTTCGTTTTGCATAGAATGCTTTGGTCTTTTGCCTAGATGCCATCTGTGACCACTTTCGAGTCAGTGGAAATTAAGTGCTATGGTAAGATGACCTCTTTTTTTGCTGGTGAGCTGAGGTTCTTCCTACCACATTTGTCATGAATACTGTGTCCCTTCCCCTTGGCCCATGTCATGTGAACTATACTTTGGGCAGGTTGGTTGTGGTCTTTTCAAATGAGGTAACCAACACAAGGGGTGACATCATACATATCTGTTGTAAGGCCCTGTGACCCGAGTGAAGGCATATGGAGATGTATTTACTGTGGAGTCTGTGGTCACGGACATGGTCCTTTCGGTAAGGGACTTGATGAAGCGCAGGTAAGTGGGCTCGGAAGGTTCATGCGGCTCAGTGGGCTCCCGCTTCACTTTTTTGCCGTGGGTTTTCTGAGGCACATAATCCGGGCCGTACTTTTCACACTCTTCTTCTTTCTCGCGGGCTTTTTCTGCCATTTTGGCTTCCCAGAGTGCCAAGCCATGTTTTGGCTCATTCATGCTCTTGTGCTGGTAAAAGACGAGAGAGATCCTGGTGGGGTGGTTTCTGTTGGGGTTCTTGAGGGGCGTGGTGGCGTGAAGCTCGCGCTTTGCACACTCGATGAGGATTGACCCATGCGTTGGAGCCACCGCCACCCCCCCAATGTCAGGATCCAGGAAGTTCTGCTCACTGTCTGACCAGACCTCGTCGTTTTCCTCCGGAGCGGAAGGCTGCTTTTCCTGACCGCTCGCATCGTGCAATCGGTGTGAGCCTTCCTGGAGAGCCGCGGTTCTGTCGTGGTGAAGCCCCGGAAGCATCTTAGACAACCCATTAGCCGTGTGGGAAAGCATGTCATTCTCCTTGTTTTGGAGACGCAGGGCGTGGAAAGAGCTGCTGAACATGCTTGGAGCTGCGCTGTAGTTGTGGAGTATGTGAGAAGACGGGTGATGTCCACCGTTTTTATAGTCTATGTTTGGGCTGCTCAAATTGGGCGGTAGTCTAGAGGCGGCTCCCATGAAGTGGCCATCCATCTCATGCACGGAATAAGGAGGGAATGTCCCTATATGGTGTACATTTGGCCCAATAGTACAACTGCTGAAGGTATCTCCCTGCATATTTTGGTTTCCGTAACTTAAGTACTTGGAAGTAAAACTCTGGCTATTTCCAAACCTTGGCTGGTAAAGTGGATGGATGGGCGATAGGTTTAGTTTAGAGAGAGTGTCTTGGTTTGGATACCTATATATATCCATGGGCTGGGACTGGGGAGAGTAAGAACCCAGATACGAGGAGCAGTTGTCCATTGATACATTTCCATTGCACTGATATGATGGATATTGGTTATTCTGATTTAAAAGCCCAGGGTAGGGGTTCATGGGATTAGAAGAATTCAAATATGAACCCGCTGTCTGGGGTGAGGTGGAATAGAAGTTCATACAGTTGGCACTTCCATAAATATCTGAAGTGTGTGAAGAGCTTGGATAAGGACTAAGTGGATTGGGCCGTCTCATATATAGATTGGTGGATCCAGAAGAAGAGTAAGAGTTGACAGCCTCTGACTGATGGTTATTAGTCACGGGATGATGGGGCGGTGGCGGCTGCTGGGGCGGTGGCGGCTGCTGGGGTGGTGGCGGCTGCTGGGGCTGCTGGGGCGGCTGCTGGGGCTGCTGCGGCTGCTGCAGCTGCTGCGGCTGCGGAGGTTGCTTCTGTAGTTGTTGGGGTTGTGACTGGAGCTGGGGCTGCTGGGACAGCTGCATGACTGGTCCTGAAAGTCGCAAAAGTTTTGTGGACACAATAAGGAAAGAGCAGGGACAAGTATGCTTGATTATTATTTTACAAAAGCTAGTGAGGATGCTTAAATGCAGGTAAGAACCACCAGAAGGGTTATGCCACACCTGTCAAAGATAAGACTAATGATCACTGTTTGGCATGCTTTTTTTGGTCTAAAACATTGGAAATAAAGTGGTAGACCTCATAACAGTACCATCTGGTAAGTGGAGGTAAAGGTAATAAACATCCAAAAGACATTCCATTGAAAGCATCACGTTCCCTGGAGCCTCTGTACTTCTGACCATGCCAAACTCTCTAATGAAGTGCCCTGCCCCTCCACCCCAGGTCCCTGCCCTTCCTTAACACGGTCATCTCTTCCATGAGGAAGTAAGTCTTCTATGACCTCATCCAGGGCTTTTGCAGTACTCACTGCAAGCATAAGCCACATGAAGCAACAGTCACAACGTATTGTAATTATCCATTTTTAGTCTCCTCTTTACCCTCCTGAAAAGGAATTCCTTGTGGTAAGGGATCATGCCTTATTTTACTTTATTTCTCCATTGTCTGGCATGCAATGAAATTGGTTAAATAGCTCAAATGAGGTAGTATAAGATCTGTTACGAAAGATGCAGCCATGCTGTGAGGAAAAGAATGACATTCATTTAAACACCCAAAGCATCTTTTATAACACACAAACCCATTTCATTTGCTTGCTTCGGAGAGAGGAAGTCTACAGAGTTATAGATAAAAACCTTACTGCAACTTTCAGCTTCGCAAGTGACACTTTAAAAAGTCATACTTTTGTGTCATGACTTCACTTGAGAGTCTTCTGAGATCAGAGCAAATGGCAGCCCTGACAAGTGAGACCCTTATTACAGCAACCAGCTAGAAGGGACTAGAAGCCAAGTTCTCTGTGCTTACACTTTAAAGCTGACTTAAAGGCCCTGGCCAGTTTGGCTCAGTGGTTGGAGCGTCAGCCTGAGGTCCGGAGAGACCTGGGTTCGGTTCCCGCTAAGGGCACGTGCTTCGGTTGCAGTTTGTCCCTGGCCCTGGTTGGTCATGCGGGTGGCGGCCACTCGATGTGTCCCTTCACATCGATGTTTCTCTCTCTCTCTCCCTTTCTCTCTCTCCCTCCCACTCTGTCTGTACAAAAAATGGAAAAATATCCTCGGGTGAGGATAAAAACAAACAAACAAAAAAAAGCTGACTTAAAGGAGACATCATGGACTTCTCTTAGTGTGAGTCAACCAATATTAAGCATCTTTTGCATATTATTCTAAATTATGTGGTTTCTTTGAGATTCAACATGAATCACAGGAAAATCTGACTTTGTGATGTGAAGTTTGGTTCTAAATAAAGTGGTTCACTAAACTTAAAAGATAACAGTTTTCAACCTGGCCAGTTTTGCCCAGTGGTTAGAGCGTCGGCCCATGGACCAGAGAGTTTTGGGTTCAGTTCCCACTAAGGGCACGTACCTCGGTTGCAGTTTGTCCCTGGCCCTGGTTGGGATCATGTGGGTGGCAACCACTCGATGTGTTTCTCTCACATCAATGTTTCTCTCTCTTCCTCCCTTTCTCCCTCCTGCTCTATCTAAAGATACATGCAAAATGTCCTTGGGTAAGGATAAAAAAAGATATACATTTTTCTCTTATTAATTGCCAGGCCAATACCATCTCTATGATTTGGATATGGACATGGATTACATTGTTGTATTATTTTTTTACACTATTCACTGCAGACATAAAGCAAGGGGCTTTGCAAGGAAAATATCAACTTAGTCTTGATAAGGCATGCTCTACTGCTACTGCTATAGATATGAGCTGTTGTGATGCGGCAAAGCTTTGTAAGAACTTCATGTGGACCCACCTCCTAAACCTCAGACTCAATATGGCTAAGGAAAGGTATCTTACTCTCCTGCCCCTACCCCCAAGAATCCTGTTTCCAAACGTATCTCAATAAATTGTACTGTTTTAGTTACCTAGGCTTAAAACTTTGGAGACATCCTTACATTTTTCTTCTCTTCCTCCCAATGTTTTGCCACTAGTGTACTGATATTCATTTTGGAAGAATTCACTTCCAACATTTTTTGCTATATCTTCATTGTGACCACCAACATTCAAGCTCTTATCACCTCCCTCCTGGTTTATTGCTTCTGTCTCTAAACCATGAGCTCCTTTACCTTGAATGTGGCCTACCTGCCACCACTAGAGCAACACTAATTTCACCCTGTCACTTACCTATCAGAAGACTCTGCCGCTTATCACAGAGTGAAATCCAAATTTCCCATCAAGTTGGGGTTGATGGTGCAGTAGCTCAGCTCCATCTCCAGGAGCAAAGCCTGGCCCTGCTACTTTAGAGAAGATTCTGGTACAGAACTAAGACCACGATTAAATGTAACCTTCCAGAATTAACAATGTTCATTTTTAGGTATCCTATAACATACATCTACGAGGCTCCCCATTAAATTTACCTGCCAACTGTTTAGCCTGAGTTGCATTTTCATTCTGCTTTGTACGGGATGGGGCGGACTTGTCCTTTTCGTTCTTATTTGCACTGCTCTCCAGAGAAAAAAGCTTTTCAGCTGCAGCTTTCTTGGCTTCTAGTTTCCTTTGTCGGCACGTCTTCACTGGCTCTGCCAACATCCTGACTTTCCGCCGAAAAGAACTCAGCACCTGAATAGCACCATTTCGTTTCTTCTCCTCCTGCGCTTCCACACTCCCAAACTCATCCACATCAGAGACTTTGTAAAGGGGCAGAACGTGGAGCTGCTCATCCTCAGGTTTCCCTCCAACTCCTCGATTGTCTTCTCTAGTGAGGGTGCACACCTAGTAGGAAAATGAGACAGTGCAGAGCCTGAGCTTCAGTCCAGAACAAAAGTGCGTGCGTGCGTGCGTGTGTGTGTCTTGCTCTCAGTATTTAGATTTGTGGTGGTGGCCTACTGGATCAGATCAGTGACCATAAAATCATGTTTGTCTATTATGAGTAAAGACAGTATCAAAATGGTACAGGTGGATAGACAAGTTCATACTGACCTTCTTTTGTGTGTGTCTTTCAGGAACTATTACCTCTGGTGACTGTTCTTCCCACATATTTCTGACTCTAAGAGAAGCAGCAATGATCCTACCCAAATGAAGCATGCTGTGCTGGACGGGAAGCCTCTTCAGAGAGAGGCCCCAAGTCTGTTCTTCCAAATGACTTTCTCTGCTTCTGGCAGATCACATTCGCCTCATCTCATACTTCTGTACGCAAAGAAATGTCCCATCTTTCCCCATATCTGATTCTAACTCTCCTTCATGGTATTTAAAACATTTCCACAAGATACCAAAGTGAAATCTAAATAATGTAAAATTGAACATTTGGGTGATCTATCGTACATGTAACTTAATATTCTTTTTACCTTCTTTTTCTCTCCTCTGTACTGTTAAATCTAACTCCTTGTTTCTCTTCTCATTTCTTTTCTGAGATATCACTACATACAAGGGGATACTCCAAAAAGGAAAACAAAGCTACTTCTGTTCATTTCATGGTACTTTTGTCTTCTGTTAGCCACAATCATATTGTTTTTGATGAAGCATTACTGTTGATTTCAAAACACTAGCTTTAAGCCCTGGCCAGTTTGGCTCAGCCGTTGAAGCAGAAAGTCCTGTGGACCAGAAAGTCCTACCAGTTTGGCTCAGCCGTTGAAGCAGAAAGTCCTGTGGACCAGAAAGTCCTAGGTTCGGTTCCCGGTAGGGGCGCGTACCAAAAAAAAAATACTAGCTTTTAGTCTTTAGTGTTTTTTGATTAGTGGAGACAGTGTTACTATGGTTATTTAAAACCCAAGGAAATATAAAATCACTGGGAACTACTCTTGAAAGGAATGTGAGCATGATGATAACAGACTTACTTTCATAAAAAAGTTTAACATGAGAGAGTATTAAAATGAGATTTTCACCTCCTACATATAAAAACCTCTGAGTACGTGCCACCCCTTCCCACATACATTCCTGCTTAGTCTTATCTGGTGCTTCTATTTTACTTCACAGCACCTGTGACCTGTCAGGCAAATCCCCCTTCATTCAAAATACCTTCCTCATCCTCTGCCCACCCTCCTGCACCTGCCGGGTGAAACGGGTTGTCTTCAGGACCCTATGTGCTTCTCCTCCCAGAGTCTAGCCTGGCCTCCTCGTACTGAGCAGGGGTTCAGAACATGATCAGCGATGATTTCAGACACCGTGGATGATAAGCTTTGTATTTGTTCTCTTGGGTCAGATGCCAGCAAACTGGGGGCTGTGGCCGATCTGCCTCACAGCCTGTTTTTATATGACCAGTGAACTTTAAGAATGATTTTTGCATTTTTATAGGATTTTTTAAATTAAAAAGCCCCAACCAAAGAATGTGCCCAATGAAAACCCTGCATGGCCTTTTACGAAGCCGAAAATATTTACTCTCTTGCTGTTAATAGAAAAGTTTTCCAAACCCTGCTCTAGACCATGAAACCAGTACTTTCTCTGCTTCCCAGCGAAAACTTTGCACCAGCTTCCTCAAGGGACTTCCACCATCCCTCTACCTCCCGGAATTCTTTTCCACCCTGGAATAACTTTAGTGCTGGTCTTCTGTGTTTTGTTTGAAGTCTCATTGGTCATCTTCCTTAATTATAACTATATCCATGTTGATGACTCAGGTGGATTAATGCATAATTTATTCCCCTGAACTTTCTCATTCTTCATCTCCACTCCGGATCCTCTCTCTACAGGCAAACCCACACCTTGGACTTTGTCAGTATGGAAAGCTGCCTCACCCTCAGACTGGACGTATGTTCTCCCTTTACCACAGCCTCCAATTATAAGGCCCAATGCATTTCACCCACGGGAGTACGTAGTTCTCGTGGGCTCTTTTTCACTTTGAATCTTCTATAGTCGTTACTGGGACAGTGACGATGTGTTTTCATCTACACTTCTCTGCAAGGTGAACTGGGACCTTGGCTTGTTGCTTAACTGATTATAACCTACCCGCTATCTGACACTTAATTTTTAAAGATTTTTCTGGCAGCCAATTGTAGCTGGCAACGTGTAGTCACTGGTTGAGATTAGCACCAAGAATTTCCATGATTTTCATGCGCTTGTCAACACAGTTTTCCACGAGCGTGCCAACCTGTTACAAGGGTACCAGTTATGCCAAACAATTGTGCAACCGCAGTTCATTCATGAAAACACCGCCGTGCAGCGTGACACCTGTGGAGATGTCACTCTCCCAGAGGCTGCCAACTGCCAGCCCCTCTGCTCCTACGGGGCGTGCTGCTTGCCTGTCCTCAGCCGGACTTACCAAGGTGCTGCCATTCTGCATGTTGTGCAAGTCTCTGTGGGCATGAGCACAGAAGTCCAAACACGCAGTGACCCCTGAGAATGGACGGCCTTCCTTCAGACCCAGGCGGCACTCTGGCGCTCTGTGTTCATATTCAATCTGAAACATAAAAGCACGAGCGTCAGTGGGAGGTACTTAGGCAGGCATGTGACAAAAAAGTACAACACTTTGGCACTATTAGGGCCCAAAAGACGCCTAAATATTTAGAGCTTTTAGAAATGTTTCATACTTTTTTTCCAAAAACACAACAGAATGACACGTAATAAAGAAAACACCTTGACATGGTCAAGTTTTAATTTGACAGTGTTATTGAGGTATAACTGACATACATTAAACAGAGTATATTTAAAGTGTACTATCTGCTATGTTTTCACATATGTATACATAAAACCATTGCCACAATCAAAATGATGTACACAGCCGTCACTCCCAAGTTTCCTCACACCCCTTTATAATTCACGCCTCCCTTCTGTTTCTGTCACTACTGATTGGTTTGCATTTTCTAGAATTTTATATAAATGGATCCATTTTGAGTTCATTTTTATATATGGTATGAGGTGAAGAGTCAAGGCTAATTTCCCCCCACATGGCTATTCAACTTTGCAAACACCACTGCATAAAAACATTGTCCTTTCCCCACTGAACTGTTTTTCTTGAAAACTGACCAGACATGTCAGATCTACTTTGGGACTCTCTCATGTTTGGGGTGTGTGTGTACCAATACCAACTGTCCTGATTACTAATAAATGTAGATTTTTAGTAAATCTTGAAATCAAACTATAACTCTTTAAATTCTGTTCTTTAAAAATAACTCTTTGACCATTCCAGGTCCTCTGCATTTCGCTCTCTATATTTAGAATCACCTTGTCAGTATCTCAGAATACCTGGTAAGATTTCAATAGGTTATGTATTGAATTCCTTTGCATTGGTTAATTTGGGGACAACTGACATCTTTTTTTGTATCCTCAACCGAGGACATTTTTTGCATTTATCTTCAGATAGAGCGGGAGGAAGAGAGGGGGGAAGAGAGGAGAGAAACATCAATGTGAGAGAGACACATCAACTGGTTGCCACCCACATGACCCCAACAGGGGCCAGGGAAAAACTGCAACTGAGGTACATGCCCTTAGCAGGGAACGAACCCAGGACTCTCCGGCCTGTGGGCTGACGCTCTAATCGCTGAGCCAAATCGGCCAGGGGAACAACTGACATCTTAATATCATCTTTGTGATCCATGAACATGATATATCTCTTCAGTTATTTAGGTCTTCTATAATTTCTCTCAGCAATGTTTTATAGTTTTAGCGTACAGGTCTTATGTTTTTGTGTACTATATGCCTAAGAATTTCATATTTTGATGCTATTTTAATTGCTATAGGTTTTCATTTCAATTTTTGTTTATTGCTAGTATTAGAAATACAATTGATCCTTGTGTTTTGCAACTTTGCTTATCCATTTTTTTCTAGGAGTTTTTATTTATTTATTTATTTATTTATTTATTTATTATTTTGTAGATTCTTTGGGCCTTTCTATGTAGATAAGCATGCTGTCTGAAAATAAAAACAGTTTCATTTCTTCCTATCCAATCTGCATTATTTTCTTTTTCTTTACTATTGCACTGTCTAATATTTTCAATTAGTTGTTAAATAGAAGTGGTGAGAATGAAATCCTTGTCTTATTCCTAATCTTAGGGGTAAAATGTTCAGTCTTTCACCATTAAATATGATATTAGTTGTAGGTTTTTGATCTATGCCCTTTATTAGGCTAAGTTCCTTTCTATGGATGTTGAATTTTATCAAATTTTTTTTTCTCTGTCTATTGAGAAAAATCATCTGTTTTCCATTATGTTAGCTAATATGATGAGTCGTACTGATTGATTTTTTGAATATTATATGAACCAATAAAATAAACTCCATTTGGTCATGATATAGTATTCCTTTTACACATTGTTAAATCTAAGTTGTTAGACGTTAGTTAAGAATTTTCATATAAATATTTATGAAGAACATTTGCCTATAGCTTTCTTTTTCTTTAATGCCTTTGTCTGGTTCTAGTATTCTAGTATCAGAACATGTCTAGCCTCCATAGAATGAGTTGAGATTTACTCCTTTTTTTTCTAGAAGCATTTCCACTGAGTTGTTGTTAATTTGCTCCTTAATGTGTCAAATTTGGAAGGAGAATCATCTGGACCTGGAATTTTCAGAAAAGTTTTTAACTACAAATTCAATTTCTTAGCAGATATAAAACTATTCATGAGATTTAGTTTTTCATTAGTAAGCTTTGGTAATGTGTATTTTTCAAGGACTTTGCCCATTTCATCTAAGTTGTCGAACTCATTGGCATAAAGTTTTAATAACTTGTCTTTATTATTCTTTTAATGGCTGTAGGATCTGAAGTGATGCCTCACTTCTAGTTCTTGATATTGGCAATTTGTCCCTCTCATTTTTTCCTGATCAAATTGACTCAAAGTACCAGTTTTTGGTTTCCCTGATTTATTCTCTTGTTCTCTTTATTCTATTTCACTGATTTCTATTTTCTCTAGTGTTTCCTTTCTTTTGCTGTTTAGGGCTAAAATTGCTCTCTTAAGCTAGGTTTATAGGGTAGAAGCATACATCATTGATTTGAAACTTCATGCTCTTCCAATGTAAGTGTTCAATGCTATAAATGTCTCTCTAAGCAAGGCTTTATAGCTACATCCCACAAATTTTAACATCACATCTTAACTTGCATTTACTTTGAAATAGTTTCTAATTTCCTTTGTAATTGATTCTTTGGCCCATATGTCATTTAGAAATACATTATGTTTCCAGATATTTAGGGATTTTGTAAGTATCTTTCTGGTACAGATTTTAATTTAATTGGCTTTAATTTAGTGGCTGCTTGCTTTAAGGTTTACGGCATACTCTTTAATTTACCACAGACTACATTCAAGTAATATCATACCACTCCATATATAAGAACCTTATAACAGCATACAGTAGTCTCCCTTTATCTGCAATTTTGTTTTCCATAGTTTCTGTTAGTCATGGTCAACCATGATCTGAAAATATTAAATAAGTTCCAGAAATAAACAATTTATATGTTTGAAATTGTACACCTTTCTGAGTATCGTGATGAAATCTTGCACCAACTTGCTTAGTCCCACCCAAGTCATGAATCTTCCCTTTGTCCAGCATCTCCTGATGTATGTGCCACCCTACCCACCCATTAATTACTTAGTATCCATGATGCTATCAGGTTGACTGTGTGGTATCCCAGTGCTTCTGTTCAAGTCAGTCTAATTTTACTTAATAATGGCCCTGAAACGCATGAATGGTAATGCTGGTAATTTGGAAATGCCAAAGAGAAGCCATAAACTGCTCTCTTTAAGTGAAAAGGTGAGTATAATCAATATGATCTTTTGCAAGAGACCATATTCACATATCTTATTACAATATATTGTTATAATTGTTCTATTTTATTAGTTGTTGTTACTCTCTTTCTGTGTCTAACTTATAAATTTAACTTTGTCATAGGTATGTATGTATGGGAAAAAATAGTATATGCAGGGCTCAGTGCTATCCAGTTTCAGGCATCCTCGGGGAGTATCAGAATGTATTCCCTACAGATTGGGGCACAAGGCTGGGACTACTGCACTTCCAATTACCAAGCCTCTGTGCTAATTCTACATGTTATAAACCTCAAAGTATTGTTAATACATTTTCTAATTAGCAATTTACCTTATTTTTTTTTTTTAACATCTTTTTACTCATATATATACTATTTGTGATATTTTTATTTCTTTTTTGTTAATCCAGATTTCTGTCTGGTTATCATTTTCTTTTTACCAGACAGCTTCCTTGAACATTTTGGAAGTGTTAGTCTGCTGGTGGTAAATTATTTCAGCTTTTGTCTGAAAAAAATTCTTTATTTTGCCTTTACTTGTAAGAGTTGTTTTCATGGGTTTTCTAAGTTGACAGTTTTATTTTTTATTCAGTACTTTAAAGATATTTCTCCTCTATCTTCTTTCCTGCATTTTCTTTCTGACGTGAAGTCCCCTGTGTTTATTATTATTTTCCTCATTCGATGTAATATGTTGTCTTTTTTCTTCCATCTGCTTTTCACATTTTTCTCTTTATCACTGACTAAGCAAACTGATTTCCATGTATCTTTTATGTAGTTTATTTCATGTCTTTTTTCCACCTCTATTAGGGGCTTGCTGAGCTTCTAGCATCAGTGGGTTTATGGTTTTGAACAAATTTGAAAAAAAAAAGAGAGGTATTATTTATTTAAATATTTTTCTGTACCCTACCTCCTTCTCAAACTCTAGTTACATATATATTATTGTAATAACTAGTTTAATCAATAATAGGTCATCAATCTATTGATTTCATTTCCAGTTTTGTTTTTCTCTCTTTATTTCACATTAGAATTTTTCTATTGCTATGTACTCCAGTCCACTAATCTGCTGTTGATTCCATCTAGTAAATTTTTTTATCCAGACATCATATTGTTTTCATATTTAGTGTGGGTCTATTTGATATCTTCTTAGCTTTATCTTGCTCATACTTTCATCTGCTGTCTTGAGCCAATGGAACGTATATATGATAGGTATTTTAATGTCCTTGTCTAAATATTATCATGTCATTGTTTGAATTATTCTATTGAGTGCCTTTTCCTCATCCTCATTATGGGTCAGTTTTTGTTTCTTTGTATGCCTAATAATTTTTGATGAGATGCTAGATATGCTAAATTTTACCTCGTTTTAGGGATTATTTTTTAAAGTCTTTGTTCTAGGATGCTGTTATTTGGAATGAGTTTGATGCTTTCAAGTCTTGATTTTAAACATCTTTAGATGGGACCAGAATAGCCACATCTACTTTTGCTGCCATAAGATTCTGAATATGCTCTTTACCATTTTCTATTTTAATAGGTCTTTTCCTTCTGAATGGTATTAGCAATAAGTTTCAGGTTCCAAGGGATTATTCTGCCTGCTCCTTTTGATGGTTCTTCCTACAGCCTTGGTAATCTCTTTACATGCACTGTTCAGTTCTTAGCTGGATTCAACCAGAACCCTCTACAGATGTCAGGAGCTTTTCTCAACGATGCTCTCTCCTCCCTGGTACACTGAATTGTGAATTCTATGACCTCACTTCCCCATATTCTGAGCTTCATCTCATTAATGCATAGATAACCCTGGATTCTCCTCCTGGCCCTGGAGCCAACGTGCTCTTCAGGAAATGTTACAATAATCATAGGTTCACCTTTTTTAAAAAAAAATTCAATTTATTGGGGTGACATTGGTTTGCAAAGCCATACAGGTCTCAAGCGTACAACTCAATAAAACATCACTGGTACACTGCATCATGCATTCATTGCCCCAAGCAAAGTCTCTTGCCATCCCAATGCCCCCCACCTCCCATTTTCCCTCCCCCCCTTTCCCTCTGGCTATCATCACACTGTTGTCTGTGTCCATGTGATAGGTTCACCTTTTCCATTTCTCTTTCTCTGATATTACTAGCTTCTGCTTTTTCTTCTATGTATTAAAACATTATTTCATATATTTTTTGTCATTTTACTGTGTAAAAAGTAAATCCAGTCCTGTAAATCCATCATGGCTAGAAGTTGAATTCATAGCATGATGTTGTTGATGGCTTGAATATTATTTACTACTGGGTTCACATAATATATTTTTGCATTGAGACTCATGACTTTGGCCAAAGGGAAGTGAAGGTGTGTACCCCTTTATTTCATAGCTGTGTGGTTTGTGACTGTCAGTCCAAGCTGTGGTATAGAAAATCGAGTTGGTCATTAGATAGACTTATGCCATCTTGTAAAAAATACCATGCTCTGGTTTGTGAATGAATTACTGAAAATTAATCTCCATGTCTGGAAGACAATTTTAAGAGCATGGCTTTCTGATGATATCAAAGCTATACTATTCAATGTGGTAGCCACTAACTACACGTGGCTACTTAAATTTGAATTAATAAAAATTCATTAATGCAATTGCACTAGCCACATATCAAGTGTTCAGTAACCACATGTGACTAGCAGCTACTGTACTGAATAACACAGACAGACTGTCGTAGAAGGCTCTCTTGGATAGCACTCGTCTAAAATGTCATCTCTACATATGATGAAAACATGATTTTGAGATGTGCTAATTCAGGCCTAAAACTTAATATTAAGACAACCATAGAAAAGATTGAGTAAATATAAATCTAGTGGGTAAATATGAAGAAAGAATATTTAAATTGAGAATAATTATGTTCTAATTCCATGGAGTTGACAGAAGAAATGCTTTGAAGATCCAGTGAAGCTTAACTTGAGCAACAAGACTTTACTACGAAAACAAGGAATAAAGCAAGGAAACACATTCAGATATGAGAAATAAAGATAATATATTCAGTTGGGCGAAGCAGGCAAAGATCAACTGGTAGGTTTTGACAGCACCCATAAACTCAAAACATCTTCCCATTTACGTGTGGAAAAATCACATGGCTGTTTTTCGATCTCTAAGCCATGTTAAGAAATACAGATAAACATTACCAATAGTACCTATCATGCAATATAAAAAACACCTTATTCATTCACAGACATTAACTGAATTAATTTATAGAGATTTTACTTTTTTTTTAATGTATGAATATATGTAGTATTTAAATTTTATTTCATTGTGGTAGGAACACTTAATATGAAATCTACCCTTCTAACAAAATGTTAAGTGCACATTATTGACTATAGGTATAAATGTTGTACAACAGACTCTATAGCTTGCTTATTCATCTTGTTTAACTGAAACTTGATGCCCATTCAATATAAATATTGAAACACAGCTCAGGAGTTCTATATATAATCATCTGGTGATAACTTAAAAATGTTGAGTACCTTCATATTTTAGGTACTCCTGTGTTCAGAAAATGCATGAAATACTTCAGAGAAAATGTAGTAGGGTAGAATATAAATGCTTAGAAAATCAGGTGTGTATGAGACAAGTCTATAATGAAAATCAAAGGAGTAAAAGGCACATCAATGTTTTGTTATTCTGTCCCTTTCCTAAGCTAAAATCATTTGATTAATAGCACCTAAAAGATTATTCAACAGAAAGTGGTCAAACTTGAAATCTAGCAACATAGATTCAATTCGTGTTCTTTTGTTTTATAGCTTGATTTGCTGTGTTTCTCACCCAGAATTATTTTTCAACAGTACCAAAGCATCACTTCAACTTTCCTGTGATACTCACTAAAATGGGTAAGGCTGTAAAATAATAGTTTTAATACCATTATCATAAACAGCATTTAAAATACTTTTCATAGACTTTCATATACATTTCTAAAATCCTAAATTATGGCACAAAACAACTTATAAACAGGCCAGCATTATTTAATTTGCTTCCTTTGCTCCCACTTAAAAAAAAAAAGTTAAAGTTTAGGGAAAGTGTTAAAATGCACAATGGAAACAAAAGTAGCCAAAACATTTATTAGGATTGGTCCTCTGTCTGTCTCTGCTATTAAACTAATAGAATCCCATTAGTTGTTAATGTTAATGAAATGTTTGCCAATGTACTGCTACACTTCCTTCATACTTAGTCATACCCTTTTCTGCTGTGTACTTCGCTCCATACCTTCCTATGACCTCCAGCATTCCTCCATCTATATCTCCCTCTGTCCCCTAAATCTTGAACCTCTCCCACTCCACTGCTCCTACCCCAAGCACTTACTTCACTGTTTCTCTTCTTCCACTTACCTATGAAATGTTGATGTGCTCCAGAATCCCAACACTGCAATTAGCCCCTCTCCTCTTTATAATCTCTGCTCTGAAAAATAGGCATTCATGCCTATGTGTTCAACTTCAATTACTTCCTCCTGCATTTTTGATAATTCCCAAACATACTAGCCTGTATTTTCTTTTCCTTTTCCAGATAATTATCCCAGAAGTATATAAAACCTAGCATGTCCAAAATGAAATTTATCATCTTCCCATCCTCTCCCCCAAACTTACTTTTCCTCACTGATTTCTGGTAATAGTGAATAGAACTACCTGTTCAAGCCAGAAATTTGGTGGATCCTCAAATTCTCTTTTGTCCATCCTCAAATTCAATTGACCACTAAATTCTGTAAGTTCCACTTTAAATATTTCACATGTTTATTTCCTTTTCTGTATCATAACTGCCATTTTTTTTTTAAACGTAGAACCTTATCATCTCTTGCCCAGTGATTGTAATAGATTACTTCTGCTACAGTTTTATCTTCCACTGAAGAAGTGTGTGCATTCTTCTATCCCAGCTGTTAGTGTATTATTCTGCAATTGCTATTTTACATATCTATATCTCTTTTAGAGAAGAAATTTCTTAAAGACAGAAAACCTACATTGCTTGTATTTGTGTTCACAGAGACGAAACACAGTGTCTGGTTTGTAACAGGTTTTCATTTAATGCTTTTGTTTTTGATATTATTGAAACAGGAAAGACTTATAGTCTTTTGCCTCCTACATGAGTATTTCTGAACAAATATTTTAGAAAACCTAGCCCCCAGAATAATATGCTACGTGAAATAAGCCAGTCAGAGAAAGACAAGTGCCATATGATTTCACTCATATGTGGAAGCTAATGAACAAAATAAACTAACAAAGTAGAGACAGACTCATGGATACAGTGATACCTCGGTTCTCGAACATAATTCATTCCAGGAGGACGGTCAAGAACCGAATTGTTCGAGAACCGAAGCAATGAAACCCAATAGGAAAGCGTGACTCCACAAAGCGTGACTCTCTCTCTGCACTCACACTGATGACGCAAGCAAGGCGTGCTGGACCGAATGAACGCCATTCGGCTCCACTCGGCTCATCTCGGAAGTTCGAGTTCCAAATATTTGTTCGGATTCCGAGACAAAAGTTTCTCGAATCTCCTGGTCGAATACCGATTTGGTCGAAAACCGAGGCGTTCGAGAACCGAGGTATCACTGTAAACTAACAAAGTAGAGACAGACTCATGGATACAGAGAACAGACTGACAGCTGTCAGAGGGGAGGGGGTTGGGGCTGGGTGAGAAGGGTAAAGAAATTAAGCAAAGAAAAAAGAAAGACTCAGGGACACAGACAATAGTATGGTGATTGCCAGAGGGAAGGGAGTGGGGTGGGAAGAGGTAGAAAAGATAAAGGAGGGATAAATAGTGATGGAAGGAGACTTGACTTATTGTGGTAAATACAATACAATATACAGATGATGTGTTGTAGAATTGTACACCTGAAACCTATATAATTTTATTAACCAAGATCACCTCAATAAATTTAATAAAAAAGAGAAAACCTAGCTTTGTAAATAGGTACAGTGAAGAATATACTTATCAAATAGGAAGAACTTGTTTTTGTTTGGTTCATGGAGCCAAGGCCAGAATAAAGAGGACCTAGCAAAAACTGGTGTATCTGGACGTTTACAAAGTAGTGCACCCATAGCTCTATATGCAAAGACTTTCTGTGAAAACAGTTATGACGTGGCTGAACCTACAACTTGGGCCACAGAATTTTAATCAAAGTCTGCTTACAGAGTCAAAATTATTCCTATGAGAATTAGATTAGTAGATTGTGAACCTCAAATGCTCATGATATTTACATATTGAGAGCCCAAAATGCTGTAGTTTTTGTTCACCAGAAACAGAACGCTGCAGTGACTTCAACAATTAGAGAAAAAGAAAGATTAAAAAAAAAATCATTGCTTCAACAATACTTTTGGAGTAGGCAGGTAGGTCATCAATAATAAGTAAATGGTTTCAATCACTGTCAATTATTTAAACTCACCTGATTATTATATGCATCAGGTGCAAGCTTCTTGTATGTTGGTGCCATAAGAGTAGACAGGTTTTGCAAATGAGACTCCAGTTTCTCTTCCTGTGTAAAATGAATAAGTCTACATATTAAATTCTAAATTTATTCTCTTTGTCTACGAGAGAGACTATCACTTAGATTGCCCTCTATCTTAGATCCAAATCACTACATAATATTCTTCTTACTAAATAACTAAAGGATCTTACCATGACTATTTCTAAGTGAAAATAAAGAGCATATATAACCTAGCTTTGTATGTGCTATTAAAAATCTAGTTCTTCAGTATTTTCATAAGATTAATCAACTTTCTACTTTGTGTGCAGATACTTGGTGTTTTATAAACAGAAGCCAGTGCAGGTAGTAGGGTTAGAAGAATGAAACTCTATGGCCTTAAAGAGGTCACATGCCCTACTCTCTTTCCAATTAGCTGCCAAGGAAGATGGGCTATTAAAATGCTTTGTTTGATTTAATTTGTCTATTTCTAATCTCTGTACTTTTAAATATGTATTAAAACAGCATTTCAAAATTCTAAAGGATCTCCTAATATAACAAAATTTACTTGATGCTTTAAACCTGAATAAAAGTTTCAGAACTAGAGTGTGGTATATATGAAGAACTTTGTAATTTTACTTAAAAGGAGAAATGTTCAGTTATACCACCCCACTCCCACCAAAGAACAAATTTTTTGAAGTAATATGGGTTTTAAAACTGTAGGTGATAATACTCAATTGTTCTATTCATATGTAGAAGTTCTCTTTTCATATTGATATTTCTCTTAAAATTTTGGGAGATGTAAGCACCAGGCAGAGATGCACTTATTTACATTTTAGAAGGGGGAGAGGTTTCTGAAGGGAGCTCTCTGACCTAACTGAGGGAGGATGTTACTAGCCATTCCCTGGATTTGGTTGACATGAAACCTGGCCAGAGTGACCAACATTTATGAAATAGTGGAGAAATAGCTCTCCAGTGGGGGAAATGAAAGTGGCTGGATGCCTGCAACATTGCTGCTCTTCATTAGGCTTAAATATTCATTTTTTTCTTATGAAAAAGGGACATCTAAAACATTTAAGTAATACTGTCTATTAAAAATATGACCTATGAAAAAATTATATAATTTAAAGTTTTTGCCCTTTATTAAACTTCCACTTATTATTATAGTCATAAATAATAAAGTTAACACATTTTTCATTTACAAAGACATACCAATATTATAATATCCATACTATAACTATATATTTCAATTGCACTTAAAATTTGAAAGATAATTATGAGGTGCGCAGAATAACTAAAAATTTGGTTGTATCTAAATGCTAAATATACTGAGGTTTTCTGATTATTCCATTAGCATATTCTAGAACACAAGCAGCCCAAAAGTTGTTAAATTTGACAGAAACCTGCAATTTTGAAAAATATATATTTTTCAGAAAAGACAAAAAACCACTGACTTCAATAAGAAATCAGTGTTCATTTATTTCAATAATACTTTTATATTAAAATCTAAATGTTTTAGGTACTTGAATGCATTCATTATAGTAATTAAATACCAAATCTCATGGTGTGCAATGCACCCAGAAATGGTCTTTTCTGAATGTGGCAGTCATGAACACGTCTTCTATCATTCAGCTTCAAGAAATGAAAGTTTTAACACTGAAGTATTAACATTTAGTTTTAATGTCGAAAGGACAGGTGTTTAAAACTCTGGAATTAACATAAAAGATAAAGAATAAATGTAAAAGGCAATAGGTATGAAGAGTTTATGTTGTTTTATCTATTTGGTATAACATAGTTATTATGCTAACTTAGTAAATTATTATGTGTTTACAGATTAGCAAAAATTTTGTTGATTCATCTCTGAGATAAAATTCTTGAGTTTAATGGAGTATGCCATATTGCTCATCTGTGCTCACCAATTCTCCATGAAAAATAGAGAGATTATACATCAGGAAGTAAACAAACCTCTTTTGGGTCATCCCCAAGCAGCTTAAATTTTCTTGGTATCTTGCTTCTGGCAAACTTACATCCATTGTAGTACATGCTCCACGAACAACCAAAAGAAAAGGAGGCACCGCAGGTCTCTGGGTTCAGCCCTTGACAGGCACAGGTTCTCCTGAGAAATCAAAGGATCAAATTCATGGCTATGGATAGCATTATATACACTACCAAGCTCATATTCCTGGTGTCTGCATGCAAATATGAGTGCAAATTATCTTTTAGTGACATCTAATCTAACTCTATATTAAGCTGTGACATAATCACATCAGAAAAGAACTATTTCAATCTACTTTAAAACACAATTTAAAGAAATATTTTATTGTACTATAATACACAGGAAAATACACAACATTTTATAGCTTGCAAATGCTCACAAATATCAAGACAGTAGCATCCAAATGAAGAAACAAAACATATACTTGCACCCCAGAATCTCCTCTTAATTCTTCCTTCCAGGCATTGTCCCCCAACAGTAACTTCTATCAGAAGAGATTAATTTTGCCTATATATATATATCAAATATAGTCACATTTAGTTTTGCCTATTTTGATACTATATATAGGATACTATATATCTACTGTATATAGTGTGTATGTGTGTGTATATATGTATGTATATAGTTTTGCCTATTACTACAAAAATAAATTAAAAATACTAGTATTAAATATATATAGTATAAAAATAGGCAAAACTATCTACACATACATACATACACACATGTATATAGAATTATATAGCATAAGCTCATTTGTGTCTTGCTTTTGTTCAACATTATGTTGAGAATATCCATCCATGTTGCTGCATGTGTTCTACTTTATTCATGTATTTATCCCTTGAGTTCAGTTTCCCATCATATGCCACAAATTAACCATTCTACTACTGGTGGGTGTTTCAGTGCTCTCTAGTTTTTGGCTAAAACACACTGTTGTGACTTTACAGCTCATGTCAAATATGTTCGAAGAGCAATAAACAGTCAAGCTAAGAAGCCAGAAAAACAAAACATGATAAAACAACCTACTAGGAAAACTATATTCAGTAAGTATTTTTTCAGCTTTAATGCAGTATAATTGACAAACAAAATTGTAAGATATTTAAAGTGTACAACATGATGGTTTGATGGTATGTATACATTGCAAAAGGATTCCTCCATTGAATTGATTCACACATCCATCAGCTCATATATTTATCTTTTTTTTTTTGGTGTGGAAAGAACATTTCATTTCTACTTTTTTTTTTTTTTTTAAATCCTCACCCAAGGACAGTTTTCCATTTATTTTCAGACAGAGTGGGAGGGAGAGATAGAGAGAGAAACATCGATATGAGAGAGACACATCAATTGGTTGCTTCCCACATGACCCTGACCAGGGCCGGGGACCAAACCACAACCAAGGTACCTGCCCTTGACTAGAATCGAACCCACAACTCTTTGGTCCACAGGCCTATGCTTTAACTGCTGAGCCAAACCATCAAGAGCTTAAGTTTTACTTTCTTAACAAATTTCAAATATATAATACATTTTTTATCAACTATAGTCCCCATGTTATGATTTGATCCTCAGAAATTGTTCATTTTATAATTGAAGCAGTGTCCTTTTATAAACCTGTCTCTTTTTATTATTTTTTAATTGTTATTGTTGAATGTATTATAAATGTTCCTCATTTTCCCCCCATTGACCCCTCTCTTCCTACCTTTCCCCACATTGTTGTCTTTGTCTATTGGTTATGCATATAAATAAGTTCTTTGGTTTATTTCTTCCCACCCCCAACCTCCCTTCCCTTTGAGGTTTGTCAGTCTAGCAATCAATTTGTACTTCTTAATCCCTTCACCTTTTTCACCCATCCCTCAGCCCCCTCCCATCTGGCAACCAAGAAAATGTACTCTATATCTATGATGATGTTTCTGTTCTGCTTGTTCATTTTGTTTGTAGATTCAATTGTTGATAGCTATGTATTCATTGCCATTTTGTTTGTTCATATTTTTTATCTTTTTCTTCAAGAAGACCTTTCAACATTTCATATAATAATGGCTTGGTGGTGATGAACGCCTTTAGATTTTCCTTGTCTGGGAAAATCTTTATATGACCATCGATTCTAAATGACAGCTTTGCAGGATGGAGTAATCTTGGTTGTAGGTTCTTGCATTTCATCACTCTGAATATTTCTTGCTACTCCCTTCTGGCCTGCATTTTCTTTTGAGAAATCAGCTGACAGTCTTATGGGAACTGCTTTTCTCTTGCTGCTTTTAAGATTCTTTGTCTTGAACCTTTTGCATTTTGATGATGATGTGTCTTGGTGTGGGCCTCTTGGGGTTCATCTTGTTTGGGACTCTCTGTGCTTCCTGGACTTGTATGTCTGTTTCCTTCACAAGTTAGGGAAGTTTTCTGCCATTACTGTTTCAAATAGGTTTTCAATTTCTTGTTCTCTCTCTTCTCCTTCTGGCACCCCCAAGATGCGAATGTTAGCACGCTTGAAGTTGTCCCAGAGGCTCCTTACATTATCCTAAATTTTTTGGATTATTTTTTCTTTTTGCTGTTCTGATTGGGTGTTTTTGGCTTCCTTATATTCCAAATTGATGGTTTGCTTCTTGGCTTACCTACTGTACTATTGAATCTGTGTAAATTATTCTTTATTTCAGTTAGTGCCTCCTTCATTTCTGACTGGTTTGATTTTATGCACTTGAGGCCCTCACTAAGTTCACTGAGGTTCTCACTAAGTTCATTGAGCATCCTTATAAGCAGTGTTTTGAACTCAGCATCTGTTAGGTTGCTTATGTCCATTTTGCTTAGTTCTTTTCCTGGGGTTTTGTTCTGTTCTTTCATTTGGGACCCGTTTCTTTGTCTCCTCATTTTGGCTGCTTCCCTGTGTTTGTTTCTATGTATTACTTAATGAGAGGTATGGGGCTATCTGAGACCAGATGCTGCTTGTTTGAAAGAATTTAGGAAAACCTGAAGCAGGATCTGAGACAGGCCACTCCTATGGTTAAGCAAGTGGCAACAACTTGGGCCTGAAAGTTGGGTGTGGCGGGGCCTCAGGGACTCACCAGGGCAGGGCCAACAGTGTGAGCCAGGTTGCTGGAGTCCCAGATATGGCAGCTGTTCGCCACCCCAGGGAAGGGCTCACCAAAGGAACAAAGGCCTCTGATAGCCTGTCTGTCCAGGAGAAAGTCCCCCTTCCAGCCCTCGCTCCAATGCCAAACAGCTCAGTTCTTCACTGTATATCTCTGGCGTCCCTCAAGCTGCCTCCCCTCTGAACATGAAGGGAGTGATTCCGATAAGTCTGTGTGCGGGCCCTTTAAGAGGAGCTTCCTGAGGCTCCAGCTGCCTCAGCCTCCCTGAGCCTCAGTTCCAACTGGTTTTCCAGCCAGAAGTTATGGGGACTTCTCTTCCTGGCATTGGAACCCTGAGCGGTGTGCCTGGTGTGGGATGGGGACCCCTCAGTCCTCAGTGAGGATCTTCCCAGCCAAAGTATCTCTCTTAATCGTTATCAGCCACATGTGGGTGTGGGACCAGCCCGTCCGCCTCCACCCCTCCTACCAGTCTCGATGCAGCCTCTTCTTTAATTCCGTAGTTGTAGGACTTCCATTTAGCTTGATGTCAGGCAGATCTGAATGTAAACCCTTCTCTTTCCTCTGCTCCCAAGCTGCTCACAGCCACTTTGTACTCTGCTTCTATGAGCTCAACTTCCAGGTTTATCTATGTCGCGAATGTCAAGATTTCCATTTTTAGGGCTGAATGGAATTCAGTGTGTGTGTGTGTATGCATGCATGTGCATGTGTAAGCACACACTGCATCTTCTTTACTCATTTGCTACTGATGGACACTTAGGTTGTATCCACATTTTGGTTATTGTGAATAATGCTGCAATGAACATTGGAGTGCAAGTATCTCTTTGAGATCATTTAATTTCCTTTGGATATATACCCAGAAGTGGTATTCCTGAATCATGTGGTAGTTCTATTTTAAATTTTTTGAGGAATCTCCATACTATTTTCCATAATGGCTGTACCAGTTTAAGTTCCCAACAACAGTGTACAGGGTTCCTCTTTCTCCCCATTTAGAATTTGCTATCTCTCTCTCTTTTTTAATATAATAGACATCCTAACAAGGGTGAAGTGATACCTCACTGTGGTTTCATTGGCTTTTTCCTGATGATTAGTGATGATCACTTTCATGTACCTTCTGGCCATTTGTATATATTTTATATAAAAATGTCTGTTCTTGTCCTTTGTCAAAATTAGATTATTATTTTTTGCGATTGAGTTATATGAGTTCCTTGTATATTAACTACTTATTGGAAATGTGGTTTACAAATATTTTCTCCCATTCCATAAGTTGACTTTTCATTTTGTTGATGGGTTTTCTTTGCTGTGCAAAAACTTTCTAGCTTGATATGGTCACACTTGTTTATTTTGCTTTTGTTGCCTTAGCTTTGGATGTCAAATCCAAAAATTATTGTCAAGACTAATGTCAAGAGGCTTACCCCAGAAGGGGTTCAAAACAGGCCTCCCCAAGATGTGCCACTTTGGCATGTGAATTTTTTTGAAGGCAATATAAACCCTGTGGGCTCACAAGAAACATTTACTTCTCCTTTCAAAAATTTAAATTAGGGGACTTGCCTATAATTAGGAGACTTTGTGACTTTGAGTTGACTTATCTACAGGGCAGGGCAAAGTTCTAATTACTGAACATCTGCCCTTTCTAGTATCCATCCTGAAATGAACTTCCTCCTTCTGAAGCCCCACGGTGCCTTAACTCAGAATATTATATATACCTAATTTTTCATTTCTGTCTCTGAACTTCTCATGTCTGTGAGTCTCTTATTCTCATGCATGTGGTGTTCCCATATGTGCACATGTAATTAAAGTTGGTTATTTTCTCTTGTTATTTTGTCTCATGTTGATTTAATTATTTTGCTAGCTGGAAGAACCAGAAGGGTAGAGGAAAGTTTCTTCGCCACACCTCCTATGTTTCTGGTCTAAAAGTTCTGTAGTTTCATGTCATTTGTTTAAGATTATAATCCATTTTAAGTTGACTTTGTGTACAACATAAGAGAGGAGTTCAATTTCATTTTTTTTTTGCATGTGATAACCAGTTTTCCCATCACCATTTATTGAAGA